TACAGTAATGATGGAAGTGTATTTTTATTAACATAAAAAGCAGGACAAGACCATGGTGATTTACTAGGACTAATAATTCGATTTTTTAATAGTTCATTGATTTCTTTTTTACACATTTCAACTAATTCATGATTCATTTGAATAGGTCGAGATTTAGTAGAAATTTGTCTTTCATTAAAATTCTTAATGTATGGTAAAGTGACGACATGTTTTTTCCTATGCCAAAAGGCAGTTGGTAAAGTAGAACAAGCAGTTGTTTCTAATTTTAATTTAAATTCTTCAATTTGAGATATAACAACAGGATCAGTTAATTGTTGTTCAATGCGTTTATAATGGACTTCTTCTTTGACAAAACGTAACTGACGAGTTAATTGATTAATAGATTGGGAAATAGAATAGTCTTTTAATTGATTTAATTCCAATACTTCAGGTGGTGATAAGAATTTAAAAGTAACTGTTTGACCAAAAGCTTGAGTTGTTATTCCTTCACTAGATGTAGTAAATGGATATAATAAGAATATAAATGGTGTTCCTAAAATAACTTTATCAGTCATATTTCTAACTAAAACAAATGAAGTTTTGAAACAGACATTATGTTGACATACATGGACTTTAGGTAATTTATATTTAATACGCATTTTACTACCATTAGCAGAAGTTAATTTTTCATTTGTTTTTTCGTAATATTTAGTAGGGATTAATCCTTCTTGAATACAATTAAGATCAGCACCAGTATCAATAAGAGCAATAACTTCTAATTCAAAATCATTAATTACTAGTTTAATTTTGGAGTACCATTTTTTAATATGTATTTTATTGAGAAGATTTAATCTTCTGTTTTCATGATTATGAGATTGATGTGATCGATTATCAAATAAAAGATTATCAGGATTAGTATGTTCAGATTCATTATCAGATTCTTCGAGGGAAATGGCATCATTAGCTTGGAAATTATCTAAACTTTTATTAATTTTTAAAACAGTAATCTCATCTTCTAATAATTTATCTTTATTTACTAAATCTTTGATGGTTTGTTTAATCTGATTAATTTCATGTTGTAAATCCTCTAATGTAATTTCTTTTTGTTTAGTTTTAAATCTTTCTGATGTTTTGGATAAACTAATAATTGGTTTATCAAACTTAGGTTTCTTATCATGATTGGTTAGTAAAGATTTTAATTTATCAGTATATTTTTGTTTTAACTCTGAATCTTCTAAACGACTAATTAATTCAATAAGAGCAGTTTCTTCTTGATTTTGTTTAGTAAGAACAGTGATTTGTTTAACTGGTTTACAACAAACATCATTACATCCTAATTCAATATTATTATCAGAAGTATCACTAGGTGAATGGTAATCAGATGAAGTATCAGGATTATTAGAAGAGGAATTACTAACAGATTGGTTTAATTGGAAGATTTCAAATAATTAGTGTTTTGATTCATCATTAATTTGAAGTTAATTAACTTTCTCTTTTAATTTTTATTTTTCTTTACATTTGTTAGAATAATGACATTTTTTACCACAGTTATAACAAGTAATATCTTTATTAGATTTAGATTTGGGATGTGATTTCTTATAATATTTCTTTTTTGGTTTAGTATAGAATTTATCAGTTGATTTGGAAGGTGAATAATTCTTTTTTATATTTATTAGAATATTTGTAAGATGATTTGTTTTTAGTATACTTATGTTTTTTACGACGAGAATGTGCTACTGGAGGTAAACCATATTATTCGCAAAAGTTACCTAATTCATATTTAACCTTATGTTTATCTTTAGCAACTTTTTGACAAGTTTAAGATCAATACACATTCTTAGGCCTTCTTTTTGAATGGTACTAATAATATCACCATAAGTTAGATTATCATATTCAATAACACCAGTAGGTTGACTAAGGACATCTCTAATTTTGTGAGT